ACTCACATATCAAACTAAAAGAGTTCTATGAAATGGTGATTATTATAGGATTGTACATTAAAATATTGTGGTGCAGCAAAGTGTTGACTTATATGTGGCTCCAACATGAAATTAAAGTGGTTCTATCAAAAGGTGATTTTGTATGGTTCCCTCATCAAGATAAAGGGTGTCTGTGAAAAGGTGATTACTACAGGGTTCCCCAATCAAAATAATGGGGTACTATAAAACAAAAAGTGATTACTAAAGGACTCTCACATAAGATAAAGAAATCACAATTATATTTTGGAAATCAATGACAGTGAAACCTCTCCACTAAAATAAGATAAGACTGTGGTCTAAGTTGGAAGAATATATTATTCCAGAGATAACCTTAATCTTTAGTAAAGTAAATATGAATGATTAAGTGGTAGGTCTTATTTACAAAGAAGTCTTGCTAAAACTGTCAATGACCAACACTTCACATCATGTGACCAACAAAATCAAGAGATAATAATAAAGCCATTTAATACAAAGGGAAATAAGAAGAAATTGATGAAAATCATACTTTTTTTAAATCTCTAGTCTATGAGAACCAACAGTTGCTCTTCCTCTTATAAACCCTGGAAAAAAGCTGATTCCTGCCATAAGGGCTTAAACCCCTGGCCACAAGACCCATAATTATTTCTAGTCTTAAAGCCTTAAGTAACTTAGCCATCAGCATTAACCTCACTAACCCCTCTTATACCATATGTAAAGTTATATAGTATATGAATGATCCTCTTATGTCACATGTACAGTTACAGAGTGTATGACTGCCACTTCTTATGTCCTGTCTATCAGTTATATTGTACTGCCCCTCTTATGTCACATGTACAGTTACATAGTGTATGACTGCCCCTTCTAGGGGCCCTGAGTGGCCAAGTGGTCTAAAGCACTCACTGCTATGGTTGATTGCCATCTCACCTCTGTCTGTGTGGGTTTGAGTCTCAGATTTGGGCAATGTGGTCGTTAAACCTTACAACAATAACAACTGCCCTTTATTTTGTGTATAGTTATATAGTGTATGACTCCCCCTCTTATGACACATGTAGTTATATATTTGAGTGTATTCCCTCTGCCCTCTTATGCCACATGTACAGTGATATCATGTATTACTCCCCCACTTATGACACATGTAGTTATATATTTGAGTGTATTCCCTCTGCCCTCTTATGCCACATGTACAGTGATATCATGTATTACTCCCCCACTTATGACACATGTAGTTATATATTTTAGTGTATTCCCTCTGCACTCTTATGCCACATGTACAGTGATATCATGTATTACTCCCCCACTTATGACACATGTAGTTATATATTTTAGTGTATTCCCTCTGCACTCTTATGCCACATGTACAGTGATATCATGTATTACTCCACCTCTTATGACACATGCACAGTTATATCATGTATTCTCCCCCTCTTATGACACATGTAGTTATTTAGTGAATGACTGCCTGTTGTGCCAGATGTATGACTGCTTCTGCCACATGTACAGTTTATATAGTGTATGACTGCCTGTTATGCAACAAGTACAGTTATAGTGTACAACTGCTCTCTTATGCCATATGTACAGCTATATAATGTATGACTAACCCATCATATGCCAGATATACAGTTATACAGTGTAACACTACCACTCCTATGCCACATGTACAGTTATATAATGTACAACTGTCACTTTTATGTCACATATATTTCAACAAGTTGACAATTTTTTTCTTTTACTTTTTGACTCTATACTTTCAGGATTCTGAGACTTTAACATTTTTTCATTTTATTTTTTTCTCTTGTAGGCTAATAGGAACACATCTTTATTTTATCTTGCACATTTAATTTGTAATTGTTATTTTTTCTCCCTGATTATATGTTATGTTTAACTGTATTTTGAACTTGATCATGTCCAAACTCAAGCCAATGTGTACCTGACAAGTAACTTGTATTATATAAACAAATAATACATTCTTAATATATTTCTATGTGTGGGCTAAAAATTAGGATTATTATCAATGGATGTGATGTGATGTGATTTGGATTTTTAATGTAGCTTTTAAAAATGTTCAGTCATGTTGCTATGATGCATGCAGTTTGGCAGTTTATAGTGATGTCTGGCACTAGGGCATCATGCTGCACACATGTAACAACATGTCCGACCCAGTCACATTATCTTGACACTATGCCAACCAGTCCTAACACCAACCATTAAATGCTGAGCACCTAGTGAAGCAGCTGTTAGTACCATTTTTATAAGTCTTTTGGGTATGAACCATTTACCTTTCATTATCAATGGAAATAAACATGTTTATTTTGGGTCTGGGTCTAGGATATTGGAATTCCCATATGATAAATCTGGTTTTTCTGATGTTACCCATCATCTTAATTTTAGTAATAGATTTTATCTTGTTAACAACACATATTCTAGATAAGAACTTTTGACCCTCATTCTGGTTCTTCTCTTTTTATATAATCTTGTTTACCTGAGAAATTATTCATTCAGGCATTTAACATCTGAGGTTCAATCAGTTATTGTTGTGTTCAGTATTTTATTTAGATAAAATCATTTATTAAAATTATTATTCACTGGCAATACAAAGTGCTCATCTGTACTATTCTTGGAGTAGAACATTATTTTGAAATTATTTTGATTTCAGACAAGTCAACATTTTTGGATTATATAATTGTGATACATCAAAAGACTTAACATATTACTACAATTCAGGCCTTTAGTAAATTAACATGTTTGAGACTATAGGCACATCAACACATTCAGTATTGGAACTTATTTGGAATATTACTGGCTTTTAGTAGAAACTTATACATTTTAGGACTATTTGGGATTTAATTAGCATTACTTTAAATTCTTTTTAAATTTTCATTTTGCATTCTAGGCAAATAAATTGTTGAATTTGACAAAACTTGTCATTATGTTACTTTAAGACTATAGAGTTATAATAATTTTAATTTGGAGGGGTTTATTTTCCTTGAATTAAAAAAAATGTTACATTTATATTTGTAAAATTTGACTTTATCTGCACCACATAGCCATGATTGTCCTCATATGATGTTAAACATCTATACATAAATACATACAATACAAATATTTGTGGATTGCATGGTAATGTTTCAACCACAAATTTAAAGTTATAATGTATAGTGATTTTTCTCTGGAAACAACTAGTCTTCTTACCCAATCCAACAAACAAAGAGCTACCAAAAGTGTACTTTTTTGGAGTTGTCAAACTCTAAACATGACTGCCTCAAAGGAAACGACCCTTCTGGGACAACAAATTTCCAGAAATTCAAGATCAAACCATTTCTTCTTTTAACCTGTCTAGCACTGAAACCATCTTTGATATTCAGCAATGATAACACAACTTTCAAATTAGCTGCTGTTGTATAAGAATTTGATGTCACTTAACACCATTTCTTCGACCACTCTGGTGGCCTAGTGGTTAGAGCATCTATATGGCAACCCCTTGCAAGGAAAAAAGTGTAATCTAATTGGACAAAAAGAGTAATCTAAGCAAAAAAAGAGTAATGCCATATATACTAGCTTATAAGTTGAGTCCAAATACAAACAGCACAAACCAGATATGCCATTGCATAATGCATCTGCAGATCTGGATCTGCAGTTTGTTAGGAGTAATCAGTATAACAAACAACACAGACCCTGATCTGCAGGCACATAATGCTATGGTAAATCTGAATCTTTATTCTTTGCAATTTGACTCTACTTATAAGCAAGCACATACTGTACATGTTGCCAGGTAAGCAATTGCTTAGAAATACTTTGTCAAAGTAATCTGAATATCATGATATTCATTCATCCATTCATTATTCAACATGGATATTGTTAATGTAAGTACCAAGATGCCTTTTATTAAGCGTCTTTGTGAATGGTGCTGTTACAAATTTTATTATTTTTATTTGTAAGTACTTACCAAGAGTACAACATTGAAATAAAATGATAGTAAATCTAAATTGTCATTCATGCAAACAATTTTCAATGTATCCAGCTTTTCAATATATGGGAGCTTTCAAGATTCACCAAAGAGGATATTAATTAAGCAGACATAAATTCATAAAGATAATAAATAAATCCCAGATTTTATAAAAGAAAATCAAGATAGGATCACTATCTGTGTCAGCAAACACTAGCCACTAAAGCAGGTCAATGAACCTGTGACTAATTTCCAATTTAACAAATATATAGATCAACACAAGTAAGTGTACATGATCACTACTTCATATTAAAATAAAGCTATACCTACTGTATTTTCTTTGATAAATACCATTCTAAGTCAGGTCATTGGATGCTTGACTTAGACTTGTAACAGATTTCTTGAACTGAGTGAAACATAAACAATAGATCTAACACTCTCACCACAGTTATTCTTAGCTGGGCAGATAACCTCCATTCCCAGCAATAACTGCCAAGTAAAGCCATAATTAATGACAAACTCACTTGCTCAAGTAGACACAAGCTAAAGAGTACTTAATTATTTAACTCTTCCATCTCCTCTTGTGTTGGTAGACCCAGATACACTTCAAAGTTTGAAGACAATGACACTTTTCAAGATGACAAGACTTCTTTCAAACATATATATATATATATATATATATATATATATATATATATATATATATATATATATATATATATATATATATATATATTCATTCAGGAAGATAGTGAAAACAAGATTCTGTTGTGGCCATATTGGCATATTGGATAAAAGATCATATAAATTATCATTGAAGACCAAATGGACATTATATGAATTCTGTTGAAAATTTTTCAGTCATATCACTACAATGTCTGAAGTGTTGCAGTTTATAGTGATGTCTAACACTGGGGCATCATGCAGCAGACATGAAAAATTATGTTCCATCTCAGGTCACATTAGGCTGACCAGTCTTAATACTAACCTCTTACTGCTGAGCACCAAACAAGGCATCTGCTAGTATTAAAGTCTTAGGTACGATTTGGCTGGGGTCTGAACCCATGACCTCCCACTTCCAAGGCAGACACTATAACCACTAGGCCACCAGAGTGTCATCTTGGGAAGGGGGGTACCACTAGGCCACTGGAGTAGTATTTTAAAAAATGCACCATCTGCATTTACCCAAAACTTGCAAAACTGCGAGTAGCACTAATTGACTGTATGTTATTTATATGGAACCACTTGCTCCACAACTTTTCATTATTACTGACCATCAACAGTGGTTGTCTTTTCCATTTTAAAGTTAACACTAACTATACTATATGGATCATCTTATATTAACTTCTTGCGAACATTCCACACAACTAATAAGTCTGAATCATGCAGTACCAGTTATGTGTGGCAGATTGGGATCAATACCTTTTTCTTGAAAAGTAAAATGAAAGTATAGACTATGGCTAACTGAACATTATATCATGGCCAATCCTGGTCAATGCTGTTTGCATTTAGGTGTTCACAATACACAAGCATGTAGTAGACACTGACGAGAAAACCATGCTCAATATCCATATAAAAAAAAACATGAGATGTATTTAAGTAAACGTTATCTTTAATATGAATACAAAAATATGTTTCAATTTTACAAAATAACATACAATACATATCCATTTCAATATATTTATCAAGCTAAGAATGAGTGAAAAATTCTTAATATCAAAGAAAAGTTAATTATCATTTTTCAATTTCAAATTCTGAATTATACAGCAAACAAGTGATTAAAGTTGAGACTCTAAAATGTATAACAACTGTGAGAGTGACAGATGTTAAATAAATAACAAGTGAGGTCATGTTGTCACCTTGGACCAATAGGAGAAACTGGACACTTTCTAACTAATCATACATGCTGGTTGATAGGCAAAAGTTTCCTGTCATGTGGTTTTATGACACATATAGACTTTTATTTTCACACAAGTATCATCTCCTTGAAACCACTGACATCTCTATATCTGTTTAGTATCCATATACATGCATGTTATTTATACATGTGCTTACTTAAGCCAATCAAATATCAGCATTGGGTTTTATGGCACGACACATGCAGGTCAAATGCATAGATGCATATTATGTAGATGATGTTCTGTAATAGTACATTCTTGAAGAACCAGGACATCACTTATACTATGAATTTCTCATATCTGTGTCAGCAGAGACATTATTATAAACAAAATAATATAAAGCCATGATTATCTGATCTTCAGAGCACACTATGAAACAATTCTTTACTTTAATATATTGAAAAAAACTACTTTTGATTAGATAAAATATTTTTTCATTCACTGAAAAATCTACTGAATTGATTTTGAGAAGCTTTCTGAAGCAGTTTTTTTCTTAATAGTGGGCATAAGATATGATAACATTATTTCTATGTGTGAAACCCTGTATTATCAGAATGCTTTCAAATTTAATTAATTTCTACTGAGCAGTTAACGAGAACTCATTTATTGTTTTCTCATTTTTTTAAATGCCTGCAGCCATATTTCTTAGTGGAGTAGCATCATTTGCATCATTTGTGCAAATTTTAAAACCCTCTATTCTTCTATTAAATGGTTTTGGAGAAGTCATTTAAATGTTTTCTGTTATTAATACCATTGGCCTTATTTTATAACAAATTGGCATCAACTCTACAAACATTTAAGTCCTGTCAGGATGCTTTCTTTAATATTTGCCAAAATTCTGACAAGCAGTTTTGGAGAAGTTGTTACAAGGTTTTTCTGTTGTTAGTAACAGTGACCTTATTTTAAGTGGATTCATATCTGCTGTTAGTAAGTGACCTTATTTTAAAGTGGATTCATATCTGTTGTTAGTAACAGTGACCATATTTTAAAGTGGATTCACATCTGTTGTTAGTAACAGTGACCATATTTTAAAGTGGATTCATATCTTTTGTTAGTAACAGTGACCATATTTTAAAGTGGATTCATATCTGTTGTTAGTAACAGTGACCATATTTTAAAGTGGATTCATATCTTTTGTTAGTAACAGTGACCTTATTTTAAAGTGGGTTCATATCTGTTGTTAGTAACAGTGACCTTATTTTAAAATGGATTCATATCTTTTGTCTGAAATGTCTTCATGTCAGGATGACTTCCATGAAATTTTTAAATGTTCTATTCAACAGTTTAAGAGAAATTATTTAGATCTTTTTTGTTTTTCAGTAATGGTGGCCATAGTTGATGGCAGATTGGTATTATCTGTATGAACATGGATGCTCTTCATGCCAGAATACTTTTTGTCTAGTTTGGTCAAATTCAATGCAGTGGTTTTATAGCAAGAAATGTTTACATGTCAAGTATTGAAAAAATCTTAATATACAAGTATTTCATGCCTTTTGTAAAACATTACTATATACACAGATTCAAAATCTGATTCTCCAGTAAACTTTACTCAAACCAAATTCCTAAACATTACCATTAATAAGTTAGAATGTCCAAACTGAAAGCTGCATCACCTCCCTAGACTAAGACACTTCTTTCTGTCATGTGCAATATCATTGTGGAACAGGTCAAACCACCAATAATGAAGAATAGTAACAATGTAATTTAAAGTAAAAATGACAGAACCTGTGTATTCACAGAAGAAAGCTGAATTAAATGGGGTTTTAACGTTTGTGTCAAACCAGAAAGTAATACAAGTAATATGAAAAGTTATCTGAGCAGGCCTTATTTCAGATCTGAATTTATATTTTATGGTCATAATACAACTGATCAAATGATCACAAGATTTAGGCACATCATTTAAGCAATCATCTGGGGAAAATGACAAAACAAGTAAATGAGAGAGAGAACGAGAAAAATAATATTGAAAAATAAGTCTTTGCCTTTAATAGGGTATGGACATATCTTACACATATCTTTATTAAACCTTTGCTTAAATATCAAAGCAGGAAATATCAAACAGACCATGGTAAAATAAAATATTAGGAGATAACAATTCAAATTTAAATAGGATAATAGCCACCCCCGTAAAATTTCAAAGAAGTTCAAATCTCTTTTAAAGAGTTATTCTGAGCTTCTTTCCAACAATTGTCACAATTTATTTTTTTTCTTCCTGATCTATCTATGAACATATCAAGTGTAGGTGTAGCTTGATCTATCAATGAACATATCAAGTGTAGGTGTAGCTTGATCTGTCAATGAGCACATCAAGTGTAGGTGTAGCTTGATCTGTCAATGAGCACATCAAGTGTAGGTGTAGCTTGATCTATCAATGAACATATCAAGTGTATGTGTAGCTTGATCTATCAATGAGAATATCAAGTGCAGGTGTAGCTTGATCTATCAATGAGCATATCATGTGCAGGTGTAGCTTGATCTATCAATGAGCACAAGCGTAGGCATAGCTTGATCTATCAATGAGCACAAGCGTAGGCATAGCTTGATCTATCAATGAGCACAAGCGTAGGCATAGCTTGATCTATCAATGAGCACAAGCGTAGGCATAGCTTGATCTATCAATGAGCAATTCAAGTGTAGGTGTAGCTTGATCTATTAATGAGCACATCAAGTGTAGGTGTAGCTTGATCTATCAATGAGCAATTCAAGTGTAGGTGTAGCTTGATCTATCAATGAGCACATCAAGTGTAGGTGTAGCTTGATCTATCAATGAACACATCAAGTATAGGTGTAGCTTAATCTATCAATGAGCACATCAGGTGTAGGTGTAGCTTGATCTATTAATGAGCACAAGCGGCGTAGGCATAGCTTGATCTATCAATGAGCAATTCAAGTGTAGGTGTAGCTTGATCTATCAATGAGCACATCAAGTGTAGGTGTAGCTTGATCTATCAATGAACACATCAAGTATAGGTGTAGCTTAATCTATCAATGAGCACATCAGGTGTAGGTGTAGCTTGATCTATTAATGAGCACAAGCGGCGTAGGCATAGCTTGATCTATCAATGAGCAATTCAAGTGTAGGTGTAGCTTGATCTATCAATGAGCACATCAAGTGTAGGTGTAGCTTGATCTATCAATGAGCAATTCAAGTGTAGGTGTAGCTTGATCTATCAATGAGCACAACATGTGTAGGTGTAGCTTGATCTATCAATGAACACATCAAGTATAGGTGTAGCTTAATCTATCAATGAGCACATTGGGTGTAGGTGTAGCTTGATCTATCAATGAGTACATCAAGTGTAGGTGTAGCTGGATCTATAAAAGAGCATATCAAGTGTAGGCATAGCTTGATCTATCAATGAGCAATTCAAATATAGGGATAGCTTGATTTATCAATGAGCTCATCAAGTGTAGGTGTAGCCTGATCTATCAATGAGCATATTAAGTGTGGGTGTAGCTTTATCTATATTCATATCAAGTGTAGGTATAGTTTGATCTATCAATGAACACATCAAGTGTAGGTGAAGCTTGTTCTATCAATTAACATGTGTAGGTGAAGCTTGTTCTATCAATTAACATATAGAGTGTAGGTGTAGCTTGGTCTATCAATGAACATATCAAGTTTAGGTGTAGCTTGATCTTTCAAAGAGCATATCAAGTGTAGGTGTAGCTTGATCTATCAATGAACATAGTGGGTGTAGGTGTAGCTTGATCTATCAATGAGCACAACAAGTGTAGGTGTAGCTTGATCTATCAATGAGCAGATAAAGTGTGGGTGTAGCTTGATCTATCAATGAGCACATCAAGTATAGGTGTAGCTTAATCTATCAATGAGTACATCAAGTGTAGGTGTAGCTTGATCTATCAATGAGCATATCATGTGCAGGTGTAGCTTGATCTATCAATGAGCACAAGCGTAGGCATAGCTTGATAATTCAATGAAGAATTCAAGTATTTATATAGCTTGATTTATCAATGAGCTCATCAAGTGTAGGTGTAGCCTGATCTATCAATGAGTATATCAAGTGTGATTGTAGCTTGATCTATAAGCATATCAAGTGAATGTGTAGCTTGATCTATCAATGAGCACATGAAGTGTAGGTATAGCTTGTTCTTTCAATGAAAATATCGAGTGTAGGTGTAGCTTGATCTATCAATGAGCACATCAAGTGTGGATGTAGCTTGATCTATCAATGAACATATTAAGTGTATGTGT